TGTACACTATGAGATCACTTCCGACACATTAAACGTTGTCGGTCTGGTGACCTACTAATTTAAACTTGTATATAAAAAACAGTGTCACACAGGTAAGTTTATATATACCTGGGAGCGCGGATAGGTCTATATTATCTACTACAAATATAGCAGATACAGGTATATTAATGAGTCATCGCGGACTGGATTTTCTGACGGACATTTGATATAATAACTAACACATATCGACAAGGATATACACACACAATACAGCTCCCGTCTACGACAGGTAAGACAGTTCTAATAACATTTGTCTGTATAATTGTATTTGTAGGATCTAGCATTATCTTATTTATATTAAACTGTATCAGAAAATTAAAACGACTGTGTAAAATTACCAATGCTTGCTTAATTTTTAAATTGTAAGCGTTTTCGGAAAAGTAATTTAATTTTCGCTTTCGTTAATTAAGGGGGTGATAAAGCGAAGTCAAACTGTATGATAATGGACGTACGATATGCAAGTTTGGGTTTACCAAAGTTTAATTCCAGTGATGTTTAATTCGATTTAGTTCTGCATTCAACATGACTCTCTGTTATCTATTTATCTGTCCGCTATTTGATTTTTATTCATGATTTTTTTAGATAAAAATCATCGTTAACAAATATTATTCCGTACAGAGAATAAAGGGTATTGTTGTCAAAAGGACGACATGCTGTTTCTACTGTTAACATCTATATTTTACATATTTCCTAATACATCTAAGTTTCTGATAAAAATGAATAAATTCTCACAATCACTTGAGACACTTACTGTGTTATGTAAAAATTGTGATAAATCAAATTAAGATTGTTTCTATGAAGAAGTCACTGTAAGTGTATTTAAAGAAAAAGTTCACCATGCAGGATGGCTTTATTTATAGACGATAAGAATAGCAGTAACGTTCTATCGTGTACCAAAACACTTATTCAGTTTTACATCAGTGTGTAATTATTGTCTTTTGAAAGACCTAGAACTAGGAAGTGTCGCGTAGGCGGAAAAATACTGCTCAAAACGGGCTAGACTGGTAATGGATGTTGACATCCACTCATACGACCTAGCGTCCCTTGGTCAGTATGACATTATGGTAGCGTCATGCTAATTACGGTCAACTTGGCAGGGAATCCGGGGCGGGTCAAATTGAAAAAAAAGATATTTTGTACGTAATTATTAAAGATTGTAGACCTAACATGAAAAAAGATCTACCACTTCCATTTGTCAAGTGCCTTTAAGTGCTGGACTCTCCCCAGATAGGTTAACAACAAACTTGTAAACTGCATGTGTTGCACTATAGCTGGTAGTAATACTTATGTTACGGTGGTATGTTGAGATGATAAGGACGTAAGGTTTCTCTGTGCATCTCTGTTTATGTATTTACACACATATTTATATATCTATGTATGTCCGACCATTGATTAGTTTAATACCTCCATTAGGATTCGAACCTGTTACCTTTAGTTTACTAATATTACGCTCCGCCGATCGAGCCAAAGAGAATATCTCTGAAGCCAAGTGATCTCTTTCGGCCAGAATTTCGATTGTCTAAAGGTTACAGCGATGTTTGTAAAAGTAGCACTAAATGTGATTTCCCGAATCTCTGTATTCGCCAACACATAAGTGATAATCATTATGGCTGCTGATTTTTGATATTTCGTGGATTCGTGTTACGTCGCCCCGCTAATTATCGTCTTTTCGCTTTCTAGTTAACATCTGTTCGAAAAGGCGATAAATACCGAAGGCGAAAAGACGAAGATTATCGTTATATCGGGGCGAGAAATCAAAACAACGAAATGGCAGATATCTGTCAAAATTATTATAGTTTGTACCCGGGACCTCCGGCTTACCCTTCACCGATCGGGTTCATGAAAAAAGTCTGTCTAGTCGAGTGGTGTATTGCGGCTAGTTAGCAGAGTCGCATTCATTTATCTATTGAAAATATTGTTTTCAAAGAATAATTGGATCTAGAGAGCTTGAGAGTAGACTGAACAAAACGAGAGAGAGTGAGAGAGAGAGAGAGAGAGGAGGGGAGCGGTTGAGGAAAGAGGTCTCATGCTAAAGAGGGTCTTATTTATGGGAGGGGGTTGTCTTAATCGGACACGTACAAAAAAATTATTTACGTACAAAAACTTATATAGAGATAGCGAAAGAGCAACAACAAGCAGTTTGATATTTCATCCCATGTTTACCTGTTTACAGAGTTGCCTAAATGACAGATGGAAGATCGCTTTTATTTCAAAAGAGGTCCTAATGTAAAGAACGACACCTTTCGGTTAAGTTACAAATATCAATGTTAATTTAAACTTGAATTCTTATTATAATTGTAGGGAATGTTACAGTGTAACAAAACTTTCGGTTTTCCCATTGTTTGACGGTAAATGTATATTTGTAAGTGATATTGGTATTATCTGGGTTGTTCAAATATTTATAACGATAGACAAGCAGATACTAGGTCAAAAGTCTTATTTCGGTTTCATAACAACAGGCGACAACACGAAAATAAACTTCCATATCTAACAGATCAGAGGCCACATTTTAAGTTCATGGTGTGATAACTGTGTGATCAACAAAGCGATCAGAGATACCACAAATAAAAACGACACTATTTTAAATGCAGAATGATTTTTAAAGAAAAGTTATTCATTGTCAGTGAATCAGCGGTAGGAAGTGTCTGTGCGATACCGATATCTCTCCTAGATATAGAACACGAAGTACAGATAAAACCAGACATAGATAATCTTGTCATGTATATATTTTAACATTATGAATAATAAAAACAACCATTACATATAAACCCAACCCTCCTTCACAACAATTACGTAATCTTTTATCTCGGGGCCTCTTGGTACTAATTCCCAACCCCGCAGTCTGTATGTTGGGTGTTGAATACTAAAAATGTACAACAAAAGTCTGTTGAAAGGCTGAAAGGCAGTACTTAGCTTAGGACGGCAAGTCTGTTCAATAAAAGAAGCAGAAATAATTTTGTAAAATCGATTTAAAGTCGATGGATTTCTTCGTTACAAAGTTATAGTATGAAGCCAAAAGGCTGAAATGGCAGTAGAAGCCACACGCACTGAAATAACTACAATTTATGCACTGGGAAAAGTCCTGAAGTGATGACATAACCAGCCTGTAGTTCACCCGACACGGCTGGGGGAAGTTCAGTTTGACGATGCGTGTGATAATCTCATAATGATAACTGTCTACAACCGCTAAATAATAACTGCTCCCCCTAGTCCGGTCCGCCTGTCATCGTGGTTTTTAGTTTACACCATACTGTGCACCTGGTGACCCCAACCCTAATTTCGCTGTAAAGAGAAACGGGAGTTGATGATAACAAACGGTTGTAATGGAACCAGTAGACGTTCAATGGAGTCACTCCTTCTCTACATCTGTGTAGTCGCACATGAAACGCTAGATTTTTTTTGTCTAAATTACTGCTTGGTGTACTCGGCGGAGTAACAAACCCATATTAATAACTCGTCAGCTCATATAATGCAGGTTTTGTTGTTAAAAGAGAGTCTGCTTCTCAGATACGTTATGGCCGAGTTCACAGGAACCAAGATATGCAGAATACCCACTCTCTACTTTATGATTGGCAGGGAAGTGCATTTACATGTAGGACGAGAATAACCGTATTAAACTATATGCTGCTCCAATCTTATGTGATATCATATAGACGGTATTGTACAGCATGCATGATGCTCTGTGTAACGGACGGCAGACAGGATATATACAATAATCCTATGTAATCTGTAAGTTTGCGCTTTATTCAAATTACAACATGAATTGTTCAAAAGACAATTTCCTACGATAAAAGTGAAAAAGTAAAATTAGAAAGGTGAATTTAGCCACTATTGTCATATGTAAGGGAACAGACTACAGATGATGGAGCATAGTTGACAGCTGAAATGTTGCTGGTGAGTAAATGAACTGGATATTCCAATTACTCTATAAATGTGTGAACTTAATTAAACCTTTCTATAAATTAAGTCGTTGTGTACAAATGCGTGGCGTGATTTTCAGTGACGTCAGTAAAAGGTACAACAATATCTTGGTAAAATAGGATGATGTCTCATACTTTTCCTTTCCTTCCGTAATATTTGTAAGACTTTAAGACCGCCGTGATTGTCGTGTCATATGTCCACAACACAGCAGTCTCTCTAGTATCTTTATATGTAAGTGTTTGCACAGAACACCTACCTAACTTAAATACATATTGCGTCACGCTCTGAACACACCTGTGGCGGAAATAAATCAACTTCACGGGACATTCATATTAATTTCTCAAATTTGCCATCTACTCGCATTTATCATATCTATTGTACGGCATGACACGTGCTGTCGTCATATGTCGTCATATTTACTGCTACCTGTTTCATGAAAGTGTTGTGATTCACACCTACTGACTAAAAGTCTGGGCCACGATCCATGACTTGTGACGTCCATGTTGGGTCAGTGATGCATGACTTCATGTACAACATAAATACCACTGTTTACTGAACGTTCAGCACCAGTAACCGGAAAGAAGTACAAAAATATACTCCAAGTCTCTAGACCGGCACTCGCCGACCTCAGGTGTAATTAAGTTGTTTACAAATATCGAAAGTGTGTTGACAAAGTATGCTTCGTTTTCAATATTTGGTGATGAGAGTGATTTTTTAACGGTTCAGCGATGAGAACTGTTTTTTTAAACACGTATGCATGTATTTAAAAATGAATAAGAGAATATTGCTAATTCAAAGGTTTGTTACGATGAAATGTGGATAAAATGTCATCCGGTACACGTTAATCGTTATGACACAAATCAGGAAGCGATAAATTAAAATGTAAATTTTGATTTTTAAATGTGGCGTGACCAATTCTAAAAGTATTTCAGCAAAAACATTTTTTTTACAAAAAGACGACATTATTCATTAAACTGTCGTTAAAATATTGAAAATAGTTCCTTGCTGTAATTGGATCAATTTTCCAGGGTTTTAATTTTCACAGTTGAAACATTTTGAACATGACAACATTTTCATTATATTTTAGCTTGCGACCTTTGACTTGAGATGGAGCCCTGCCCCAGCATGCAATCTATCCAGTCAACAGCTTCTTCCTCAGTTCTAGTCCCAGACGTCATGCAGCACCAACATAAAAATGGCGGCGTTTCTCGAGGAGATTCGGAATGCGCGCACGTGACTGGCAATGTCGTGTTCACACCTAGGCGCGTGCTTCTCATCGCCTCAGCAGCTGTTGTCGTGCTCCTTGTACTACTGACCAGTTTGGTCATCATCTTATTCGTCCAGGTTACCAATCTCAAAGAAAATCTTAATTCAGAAATTTCCGCGCATGCCAATGACTTTGGAGAAGTGTGTCTTCCTTGTGGAGAGCTCCAAATGGGTCCATTTGAAGAGGATACTCCAGAACTCTCTTTCCTGGAAAAGGTCCGATCAGCGGATGGTGATATTTGTTGTGCCAGGTCACCGAACCAAACCAAGATCCTTTTTGAACTGGTGAGTGGTCAGTTACAAAAAATTGTCTCATGCACACTTTAAGTGTAGTAATGTATTTCGTTGATTTTAATTGAATAGTGTCTGTTTGATAAAATTATATCGTGATGTTTCCGGTATTTATATACATTGTACATGTAAAGATGTAATGACTAGGCACTGATCAAGCCATGCTAATTATCGTGTGAAAATATTTTTCATCATAAGCTTGTAAGAACCCGTATTTCTTACAGAAATCGATCTTACCACCCTAAAAGTACAATGCTAAGTTTTCAGTATATATTAAATTCAATAACTCTATTCTTTAAAACTAAATGTTCACTCTAAAATGAAATACTAGGTTGTTGAAGTTGTCAAATATTTTATCACATAATTTTGTCTGTGTGAATTCGAAATAACAAGGATTTCTTAGTAAACCGTGTAACACACGGCATTTGGTCTCGATTTCTCGAAGGTATTTTCCCTTCGACTTAAAGCCGTAATGAAGAACAAAATGTCAGTTATACTCCTGGTAACATTGGAGAGTTGCTGTAATGACCAACAGTATCAATACCTATATATAATGTAGTGTAAATTTATACCAATTTATATCTAAATACAACCCGACATGAGCTGATACAACCGACATTAGTATTTAACTCTTTCCGTATCGGTCAGACGTCATACTAACGGTCACCTTCTATTTCTACAGCTGTACCAGAAAAAGAAGATGCAAGAACACCGACACGGTAGGTCATTGACTCGTCATCAATCAAATCGTAGATAGTGTTGTCTCTGCGTTATCCACGACCTACTAATTTCCTGTACATTGACACACAAAAGAAATAATGACTTTTTCCCACTATATTCAAAATAAACAATGAACCGTAATGTATGAGATCAGATCGTTTCTCTGTCTATTTAAATATATTCTTTCAGTTTCTCATATTTTGATCTAATCAGAAAATCGAAATTGGATGGTAATGCTAAGAAAATGAGTTTTTCGTGTTTCTGTTATAAAGATTGTGGAATTTGTTCTTTAGATATGCTGAAGTCAGAGAATGTTGTGGACAGCGCTCCCAAAATAAACACAGTATCGGCACATCTTCTGGTGAGAGGGGAACAACCTGCTGTTACGGACAAATGTAAGACAAATTTCTCTTTGTCACTTCATTCTACTAAAGCGACCAATTACTGGTTCCCTATCGGATATCATTCCTTTCTGAACTTAATCATATCTTACCCGTTTCTAATTCCATCGGAAGCCTTACCAAACCAAACCACAAGTTACCGTGTAGTGAACTCCACACGATGTCACTTTGCACTAAATTTTCCCTGATCAAGTCCGCAGTGAATCTTTTCAGATCGACCACATTCTGAACATTGCATCGACTGACTCCGCAATAAACCTTGTCTGATTGACCTTGCACTGAATCTCGTCTGATTGACCTTGCACTGAACCTTGTCTGAGTGACCTCGCACTGAACCTTGTCTGATTGACCTCGCACTGAACCTTGTCTAAGTGACCTCGCACTGAACCTTGTCTAAGTGACCTCGCACTGAACCTTGTCTGAGTGACCTCGTACTGAACCTTGTCTGAGTGACCTCACACTGAACCTTGTCTAAGTGACCTCGCACTGAACCTTGTCTGAATGACCTCGCACTGAACCTTGTCTGAGTGACCTCACACTGAAACTGACTGATTGACCTCTCACTGAACCTTGTCTGATTGACCTCGCACTGAACCTTGTCTGAGTGACCTCGCACTGAACCTTGTCTGAGTGACCTCGCACTGAACCTTGTCTGAATGACCTCGTGACCTCTGAGTGCACTCTGAACACTTGTCTGATTGACCTCGCACTGAACCTTGTCTGAGTGACCTCGCACTGAACCTTGTCTGAGTGACCTCGCACTGAACCTTGTCTGAATGACCTCGCACTGAACCTTGTCTGAGTGACCTCGCACTAAACCTTGTCTGAATGACCTCGCACTGAACCTTGTCTGAGTGACCTCGCACTGAACCTTGTCTGAATGACCTCGCACTGAACCTTGTCTGAGTGACCTCACACTGAAACTGACTGATTGACCTCTCACTGAACCTTGTCTGATTGACCTCGCACTGAACCTTGTCTGAGTGACCTCGCACTGAACCTTGTCTGAGTGACCTCGCACTGAACCTTGTCTGATTGACCTCACACTGAACCTTGTCTGATTGACCTCTCACTGAACCTTGTCTGATTAACCTCGCACTGAACCTGTCTGATTGACCTCGCACTGAACCTGACTGATTGACCTCGCACTGAACCTTGTCTGATTGACCTCGTCCTGAACCTTGACTGATTGACCTCGCACTGAACTTTGTCTGATTGACCTCGCACTGAACCTTGTCTGATTGACCTCACACTGACCCTTGTCTGATTGACCTCGTGCTGAACCTTGACTCATTGACCTCGCACTGAACATTGTCTGAGTGACCTCGCACTGAACCTTGTCTGATTGACCTCGTACTGAACTTTATCTGATTGACCCCGAACTCCACAAGTCGTTCGATTTGATCCGAATTGAACCATGCCATATTGACGCCGAACTGAACCTTTCTGTTTGACCTTGCAGTGAAACTTGCAAGTTTGACCAGCGATGAACCTTCCCTGATCCAACCCGCAGTATTAAACTTAGTTAATTGACCCCGCTTTGAACCTTACTTGATTGACTCCCAAATGAACCTTGCTATATTGAACACGCGTTGAACCGCACGCGATTGACTCTACACAAATAATTGCACTATTTAATCCGTTCAGAACCATAGACCATGTCACTCTGCAATGAACTTTACCAGATATAACCCGCACTGACCCGCACTTAGTCGACCCTGTACTGGATCCTGTCTGTTTGAACCCATATTGAACAGCACACGATGTCATCCCGCTGGCTCTATACCTTGCACGATTGAACCCGCACTCGTTTACCCCGTCCAAGGCATTGGCCGATAGAATCCATACTAAACCGCACACTACAATTTGACTAGCACACGAACCGCACATGAGGTCATCCCTCATCGAACCTTTAGCAATCTGACCAGCCAAAAATACCTGATATCGTTTCATCGAAATACCGTGATAAGCACTTCTAGAACACCAAACCCGACAAAAGCCCATCCTGCTAACTAGAAACGTATCCCTACCAAAATCTGATAATTGCGTGTGATATTTGAGTGCATAGGATGCCCGTAACACAAATAAAGGCGGGAGGGAGTAAATAAAGCAGAACTGCCAGACAGGGTGGTAACGAAGACACCGGATTAGCCGATTTTGGCATTCTCGAAACGTTTATTAGAAAACAAAGGTTGAGATTATCGACACCTTGTGAAAGATGAGGATAGAAAAAAGACAAAAGTCTTTGGAATTTTGTTGCTATCTCAACATGGCATCACTTCAGCTTGCCTACTTTACTGAACCCTAAACCGTAATAGCTGGCTGTGTTTCAAGTTTCACTTCTATATTTGCTAAATTGTACTCATAGAACTTTTACACCAAAACTATACACAGTATTGTAAGACTTATATAACTGCTGCGTAATCTTTTTCGGCTCACGCACACACCCTCTCCCTCACCCTCACACACACCCTCTTCCTCATCCTCACACACCCTCTCCCTCACCCTCACACACCCTCTCCCTCACCCTAACACACTCGCTCTCTTACCCTCGCACACACCCTCACACACACCCTATCCCCCATCCTCACACACCCTCTCCCATACCCTATCCTCCATCCTCACACACCCTCTCCCACACCCTCACACACCCTATCCCCCATCCTCACACACCCTCTCCCTCACCCTCACACACCCTCTCCCTCACACACACCGTCTCCTTCACACTCACACACACCCTCTCCCTCATTCTCACACACCCTCTCCCACACCCTAACACACTCGCTCTCTTACCCTCGCACACACCCTCTCCTTCACCCTCACACACACCCTATCCCCCATCCTGACACATTCTCTCCTTCACCCTCGCACACACCGTCTCCTTCACCCTCACACACCCTATCCCCCATCCTCACACACCCTCTCCCACACCCTCACACACCCTATCCCCCATCCTCACACACCCTTTCCCTCACCCTCACACACCTCTCCCTCACCCTCACACACACCGTCTCCTTCACCCTCATACACACCCTCTCCCTCATCCTCACACACCCCCTCTCCTTCACCCTCACGCACACCCTCTCCCTCATCCTCACACACCCTCTCCCAAACCATTACACGCATACACACCCTTTCCTGACCCTCACACACACCCTCTCCCTCACACATCTACACACCCTTTTCCTCACCCTCACACACATACACACCCTTTCCCTCACCCTGACATACAACCACTCCCCCACCCTCATTCAAAACCTCTCCTTCACCCTCACACACACACCCTCTCCCTAACCCTCTCCCTCACCCTCACACACACGCCCTCTCCCCCACCCTCACACCATCTCCCTTAACCTCCCAAACAACACATCTCTCCGTCACCCTCACACACACCCTCTCCCCAACCCTCACACACACCCTCACCCTCCCACACATACACCCTTTCCTCACCCTCACACACACAACATCTCTCCCACACCCTCACACACATACACCCTTTCCTCACCCTCACACACACACCCTCCCTCACCATCACACATATACACCCTATCCCTCACCCTCACACACACACCCTCCCTCACCATCGCACATATACACCCTATCCCTCACCATCACATATATACACCCTATCCCTCACCCTCACACTCACCCTCTCCCTCACACACATACACACACCCTCTCCTTCACCCTCACACACACACCCTCTCCTTCACCCTCACACACACACACCCTCTCCCTCACCATCTCCCCCACCTTCACACACATACACCCTCTTCTTCACTTTAACACACATACACCCTCTCCCTCATCCTCACCCTCACCCCTATACACACACAATCTCCCTACATTTAAGCACGCGCACATATGACATAGTTTAATAAATTTACTTCCAAAAGTGTTGAAATATCATTTACAATAATTTTTTTTTTTCAAAATAGCATTAACTTAACTAATTTCTTGTCATATTTCAGCTTCTGGACGTTATCCAATTAGAAACTGGAGTCAGGATCACGTGATTGCGAACATAACTGGTCTTTCGTTTCAAAACGACCGTTTGCGTATCAACACTTCCGGTTTATATTTTATCTACAGCCAGGTGTATTTTGACAGGATGTGCGACCAAGTTTTGCAGGAGACAGGTACATCCTATCCAATATACCATTACGTCTACCGCTTCAACGTCATCTACCCTAACGGTGGGGAACAACTTTTGATGAAGAGCGTGCGGACTCCGTGTTGGACCCAACAGAAGTCCATTCACGGGGACTACACAAGCTATACCGCGGCTGCGATTAGAATGGCAGCAGGGGACGAAATCTACGTAATGGTGTCTAACATTTCCATGGTTTCTCCCGTACCGGAAGCCAGCTTCCTTGGAGTCTTCAAAATCAGCTGATGTAATAAAATGTGATAATCTGTACCTATGGTTCTTTCTGGTAAAACCGGAAGTAAAGTAGACTACAATGGTGCTTCCATAGCATTTCGATTCACTCGGATGGTATCCTCAATGATGGAGTTTCAGTAAAGTCTCGGCTGCCATATTAGGTACAAATTCCTCCTGAATGCTGATATTGCTCAATTAAACAACCAACGTGTATTGATGATGAACTATTTCCGGATTGTATCACTGTGCGCATGTGTGATATTGTTATGGTCAGTTATGTCCGCAAACGAAATGAAAACATTTTATGAACAGTATTTACATATAGGAAATGCTGATATTATACATATTTCCTGTGCACTAAAGAGGTCGTTAAGACGCTAAGAAGGTGTGATACGAAGCCAAACGGACTCTGAAAGACAAGCTGTGATGTTCATCTACATTCCATTTTGCACCAACTGCCGCTGTACCTAGTGTTATCGTAAACATAGTCATCATCAAACTCATCGTAATAGCGTTGATGTGATGAAGACACTGACAATATTCCGTCCGGTGTGGACCTCGCCATCAGAACACTTGCGTGTACGTTTTGAACCCATTAAACACCAGGTACACAACATCTTAGCTTAGTGCCAAACCAAAGTGCTATAAACACCATATAATAATGACTTTTGATCTCTTTTGATAAATTCTATGCAATATAGTGTACACGTGACTGGCTTTGTGCGCGATATGCACGTGTATCATTGTCACGCGTTAAGCAAGCTGTGATGATTCTTCTTGTTTACATCATAATGTTATTTTGTTTGTTTGTTTGTATGTTTCTTTGTGCCTCAATCAGACTCTGCCTATTGATACCAGATGTAACTTAACTATGTAGCATGCCTGTCTTCCATTCTTAACTGATTCGGTCTGTTTTGTCAAGATTCGGCCGAGATTCCTGGTCAAGTCTTAATTTTAAGTCAATGAGTATGGTCAGTCTTGTTGTATGTCCAAGTTAAACATCTGATTAATATTGACCGAGATTTAAATCTTATCGATAAAAATGTTTTTTTATGAGATTTTAGGAAATCGCTGATATCTTTTTAGGAGCCTGTTTCTGTTTGGTCTAACGTACGAGTCTACGTGTGTGTGTTGGCTACTTGAAGTTGTATGACAGTGCAATGTATTTCTAGCACATTTTTAATTTCTTATTTATCAACAATATACGTTTCATGTCCTCATTCGTAATGACCCAAGTAAATGATTACCCGAAGTGTTCAAAAAATTTGACAATAAACCGGTTAAACGTCACCTAACTACAATCTGTCTCCCAACTTGTTGTCGATACAGGGAGGGAATGTTTGGTAGTCAGTAGAATCTGCTGTCGATACAGGGAGGGAATGTTTGGTAGTCAGTAGAATCTGCTGTCGATACAGGGAGGGAATGCATTGGTAGTCAGTAGAATCTGCTGTCGATACAGGGAGGGAATGTTTGGTAGTCAGCAGAATCTGCTGTCGATACAGGGAGGGAATGTTTGGTAGTCAGCAGAATCTGCTGTCGATACAGGGAGGGAATGTTTGGTAGTCAGTAGAATCTGCTGTCGATACAGGGAGGGAATGTTTGGTAGTCAGTAGAATCTGCTGTCGATACAGGGAGGGAATGTTTGGTAGTCAATAGAATCTGCTGTCGATACAGGGAGGGAATGTTTGGTAGTCAGTAGAATCTGCTGTCGATACAGGGAGGGAATGTTTGGTAGTCAATAGAATCTGCTGTCGATACAGGGAGGGAATGTTTGGTAGTCAGTAGAATCTGCTGTCGATACAGGGAGGGAATGTTTGGTAGTCAATAGAATCTGCTGTCGATACAGGGAGGGAATGTTTGGTAGTCAGTAGAATCTGCTGTCGATACAGGGAGGGAATGTTTGGTAGTCAATAGAATCTGCTGTCGATACAGGGAGGGAATGTTTGGTAGTCAGTAGAATCTGCTGTCGATACAGGGAGGGAATGTTTGGCAGTCAGTAGAATCTGCTGTCGATACAGGAAGGGAATGTTTGGTAGTTAGTAGAATCTGCTGTGATATACATGTTGATGGTAATTCTTAACGCACATTGGGATTTACAATAAAAGTAATCATTATAGGTTTGCGCCTTGCAATCATCTTGTTGTGTCCAAAATTCTATCGACAATTCAAATATACTAAATTCTTCAAACACTGACGTCTTTGGGCTATGTAACTTTTTTTCTCGCTTTTTATCCATTGATTTTCGTATTCCCAGAGTAGTGGCCCTTTGTAAGTGACCCTTTGTAAACTTCGATTCTGATGGTAAAATGTGGATAGTAATTTGGTGCTTTGTTAAATATGAACGAAAGTTTGTGTAGTCCCCTGTGTTGTAATAATACGATAGCTTGTACGGTCCCCTGTGTTGTAATAATACGATAGATTGTACGGTCCCCTGTGTTGTAATAATACGATAGCTTGTACGGTCCCCTGTGTTGTAATAATACGATAGCTTGTACGGTCCCCTGTGTTGTAATAATACGATAGCTTGTACGGTCCCCTGTGTTGTAATAATACGATAGCTTGTACGGTCCCCAGTGTTGTAATAATACGATAGTTTGTACAGTCCCCTGTGTTGTAATAATACGATAGCTTGTACAGTCCCCAGTGTTGTAATAATACGATTGTTTGTTCAGTCCCCAGTGTTGTAATAATACTATTGTTTGTACAGTCCCCAGTGTTGTAATAATACGATAGTTTGTACAGTCCCCGGTGTTCTGTTATAGATATTGATGGTTATGATCCCCGGTGTTGTGTTATAGATCCAGTGATGTTTACGAGCCCCTGTGTTGTCGTGTTAAGTACTAAGTTTGTATACATTCCGACCTCTACACACAGACATACGCCCAATTAAACAGACACGGTGATAAAGATCTCCCTGTGATTACAGCGTCTGCTACATACACCACTTCTAACAATGCACTTGTTTTTTTATAATTATAAATCAAATGCCCCGCGTATTTTTTTTGTAAAGTCTAGCACGTGCTACTGCACGTGAGGAAGGCTGTCGTACCTTTTGATGTGCATGCACGTCGTATCATATCAAGTTATTTTTGAGATTATGTAAAGATGTATGCAGGATTATCATAAAGTATTAAAGGTTGAATTAGCTTAAAATATTTTAATTACCAAATTGTATAGCTAATTTTAGGATAGTTGATGACCACGTGACCTGGTTGGAGTCCTCATCATGCATCGTTCGCCTGATTTACAAAAACTCAGGTATACCTTTATCTTAGTACAGTTCTTATATCACAGGGACTTAATACAATTCCCAACCCCATAGTCATTATGTAAAGCACGAATGAAATCCACGTGGACCAGGGGTACGTTTGTGGTAAGTTTGAGTATGCGTGAGTTAGATCAATACAATTGTTCTGCACATTATACGGTGTAATGAATAAAAATGTTATCACAATATATTATTTTCTGTTTTTTATTTACCATAGTTTCATTCAGTACTAATTCTGTAAGTCAACTCCAAAATTCAGTTACTGAAACAAATGTCAGTATATGGCGACAGAGATCTGTTTTCGCAGCCATACTTTGTGACAAGGCGATGACATAATCCGGAAGTGAGGTCACCACTGCCCCGTGCTTGACATTGTCTGACAATTTAACACTTCCCACACTCTTCGTGGAATGTGCATAGATCGCTATTTTTATACCTTTATTCCACACTGATTGGAAAGATCCATATGTATATTTTAAGACTTTGCTATTCATTTCTGACTGTATACAAATGTATCGTCGTCAGTCATGTTCCATATGGAAATGGAGAAAATACTTGAAAAAATCCTTCTCCTTTTATAGGAACGCCTGAATTTTCTCCCTATTTGATCTGAAGCATACTTAGCTCAAGGGGAGTCAGTTTTGTTTAAACGATGGATTTCTGTCCCAAACGATGGATTTCTGTTCATGGTTAAATATCTGAGTACCTGAATTAGCCAGGTGAGCAATACATGTCTCGAGGGCCTCTTGTATTTTTACGGTTTGACACTGTTTTAATTCGCTATGACACATGACCATTATGTCGCCGAGATTGATTTTTTCAGAAGGTGTGTATTCTTGCATGGCATCGTGTGCAGCAAAAATAATTAAAGTGATCTATGTTACGACTTTGTTGGACATAACCTTCTAAAATGTATAATTGTACAATTACTCCGGATCTAAATGATCGCTCAAAATTTTCAGACTCTGTCTAAACTACACAATGTCAAAGAAAAAATAGCCAATTTAATAGAAAACAGCTTGAGGTGTGCACTTAAATATTCACAAAACATTGTTTTTTCTGAGTAGAGATTTTCTTATTTTACATAATGTTTAACAAACTATGTTTTAACCAGTATTTGTTAGAAAGTGGTCGTTGTAATAGTTTAACAGGTAAGAGTGGTATACCATGGGTCTGTTGTTGTAAATACACGACACCAAAACAGAATAACCTCTCGTCATGACTCGTTTCTGTGGTTTATCACTTAACCGCGGTAAAGCCACAAGGGTCAAGCACCGCCGGTTAAGTGCAATCGCCGGAAATTGAATGTGTTTCTTATATCTTATTTCAAATTGTACTCAGCGAATTCTACAGATCATTGAAACCGTCAGGAAATGTGTAATTCAAGTGGTTAATCCCATATTGTTTGATGTGCAGGAGATAAAGTCGTTAATATATACGGCACTTTTTTAAATACGTCACTTCCTTAATAATTACTCGTCTCTTCCGGTCTATAATCATCTTTTTTTCTTCTTTTTTCTTTCCGTGGTTTTCTCCTTTTATATTGTGGGTGGATGGTGATTAGTGAAACGCTTCCATTACACTATTTTTTTTTAAATTTTAGTATATTTGTATACTGCGAGTTGTAATGGGCGAAGTCTCGGCATGGTATGGTCAGCTGATGTTTCATCATAGCTCACAAAACACACATTCATGAATGAATATGGTCGTGAGGACTGCGTGACATATTAATGGGTGATACTAGTGCGCTGTCTAGCGAGATGTGTGATATCAAAGATTCACAGAGTGTTTAGCTAAGTCATTGACTATATTTATAGTATAATTTAATGTTTGAAGGCTGAAATTAGAACGGAATCGTACTGGGTGTTATTTAAGTGTACTGTTCCGTCGCTTGAGGGAATGTTTCTACAGAAAATTGTACAAATCGTTCTTGTCATAAATGTTACAAATCTGTAATATAATCAACCCTAAAGAGAATCATTCTCTAATGTCAATATATACCATGCCAGATATATATTGTACGGTAACAAAACGTACGAAAAATTCCCGAATATAGACGGAAGGAAATTACGATATTACCGAAACTTGGATGAATGAAAACTATGTAGTTTTGTTTATGTTTGGTTTGTTTTGTTTTTGCTTTAAAATTTGTTTTGCTGTTTTTTGTTGTTTTTTTTTTTAATTTTATTTATTTATTTAATTTTTGTTCTGTTTTTTGCTTTGTGTTTCTTTCTATTTTTTAAATTGGATTTAAAAAAAAAATGTGTTTTGGTTTTTTTTTTTTTTTCTCTTTTCTTTTTATCTTTTTTCAACTGTACTTAATTTCCGTATGTTCAGGTCGAGATTTTGGAAAGAACCAATGTTCATTTATAGAAATACCATTAGTTTTTCTTAAATTATTTAATACGGTAAATTTTTAACCACTTTCTAATGGCGACATTGACCAATAAAACACTCGAACGTCGTCGAAGACACGCATAAAAAATCGTCACTTTATAACCAGATAACACGCATGTGATACGTGTACACATGTGTTATAGCCTATATTGTATATATTACAAACGGATGTTTTTATTATGTTACATTACAGATTAAGTATCAGTCTGAAGTAATATTACAAACTTGGTAATTAAGGAATCGTTTTAATCAAGCTCTGCTATTGTCATACATATATATTTTCTGGCTGATGTCCTTTCCGTGTCGATTCTCGGACAGGACGCCAAAATTCTACAGGTAAAATGTTGGTATATCTACTACTGCATGTTGTTGTACTTTATTTTTGTTCAGTGACTGATTAGTTATATTTAAATTATTATTAAAAAAACAGTAAAAAAAACAATAACATTTCTATAATGGCGACAGCGTCAAATAAAACGCTCGAACTTCGTCGAAGACAAGCATAAAAAAAAATCGTCGTTTTCATAGACGTGCATAGTATACACGTGTGTTATTGTATACATTTCAATAGTGTTGGTTATATGAAAAAGGGGTGACTTTATGATGTTATATTACAAAGTCAGTATCAGAAATTATTATTACAAATTTGGTCGATGTCTGATGTTAAATCAATAATTAAGTATTCGTCTGAAGATTAGTATTAGTTTGGTGCTATATTACGAATTAAGTATTTGTCTGAAGTTATATTACAAATTTGGA